AAGATGAGTCCTGATTTGATTGATGATCTAGCTGCAGCAGAACTACTTCTATAGGATTTTCCTGCGTTCTTTAAATCTAATCTCAGATATTACAAAGTAGCTCATGTGAAACTTTGGTTTTAATGATTACTTTTATAAACTCAGACACAGTTTAACAATTATAAATCGAGTCCAAATGAGTGAAGCATTAGGACATTTTTGAGACATCTGCTTGATGTAACCACAAGGTCTATTTAACTGCTTTCTGTCTCATTTTCAAAGGGAATCTTGTGGTATTTGCTGAAATGTGTGATTGTTAGTTTATGTGTCACTGATTAAGTGTAAATGGACATGGAAATTTGTAAAATTATTGCTTGTTTTTTTCTTTGCCAACTGAAAATGTTTGCTTTCAGGATGAAGAACTCTTTGGGAAAAAGCAGAAACTTCCATGAATCTCTACTTCTTGACAGTAGCTGTACAAAGTTTGAGTTGGATAAAGTGAAGAACAACAATTTTACTGGTTTATGACATTTCAGCTCATTCTCAAATGAAACATATGTGCCAAGTGTATTTGGATTGCAATACTGTTTGTTCCACGGACTAGTTTTGGTTATCTAACCTTCTAGTAATTTCTGTTAACATTTTAAAGTCATTCAGTGACAAATAAAGTTTTTTGAACATTTCTGAATCCGTGTGTAACGGGCATTGGCTGAATCTCCTTTACATAGGAGAGTATCTCAGGATCCCATTGGACTATTTTGGTGATTCTAACCCCTGTTGAAACATGAGCCAATAGAATCTCTTGTTGTAGTTATTTTTTTCCCGGCTGGCTTTTATAAACCAATCACAGGAAGAGATTCGCTGTAAACCAGAAAATTATGGAACTTGGCACTGAAGATTTGTAAAGACTCTCCAGCAGGTAAAAAAAAAAGCCCCGAACAGTCAGGAATCAGTTCAGTTTGATGACTAGGACATAGGATTACATGAACCGAGTGTTATTTTTTTACTATAACTCAGATTATGACCATAAACCAGCAAAGGTAAGACTAAATTTATGTTTTTGACATCACAAAATTAGCTTAGTTTTGATGCCCTGTTAGCATTTAGCTTGATTAGTTTTGCAGGTAGAGTAATGAGACTGATGTTAGAAAGATGTGAGTCTGGGCTTTAATTGAAACTGCTGCTTTGGACAGGGTCATATTGCAATGTCACCACTGTGTGTTTTTCTTGATTGGTGTAATTAGCGTTTGTACAGGCTTTTTCAATTAGCAACTTGTTGTTGCTTATTGGGGGCATTTGATGGTGTGAGGTAGAAAAGGTGGATTATATCGTTGAAATCAGCCTCTTGCCATTATGCATAAATCGGGGAATATCAAGCATGATTTTGGTACAGCTTTGTTACAACTTTACCAGAAGTGTGCATGGATCTGGCATCGGGTCTGTCAGGCTCAGATGGTTTTACATCTGCAACAAACATTGATAAAACCTTAGACATATCTATTCATTAAGAGACTCTTTGAGCTTAATTAAGCCAATTATGTGCCTTTGAAGTTTTTTCTGACAATTATGAAATGTGCCAATCCATCCATCTGTTTCCGTCTGCTTATTCGGGGTCGGGTCATGGAGGTAGCAGCCTAAGCATAGCGGCCCAGACTTCCCTCTGCCCAGCCACTTGGGCCGGCTCCTCCGGGGAATCCTAAAGCGTTCCCTGGCCAGACGAGAAACATAGTCCCACCAGCGTGTCCTGGATCTTCCTTTAGGTTTCCTCCCATTCCAGAAGGCATTCTAACCAGATGCCCGAGCCACCCCATCTGTTTCCTCTCAATGTAGAAGAGCAGCAGATCTACACCGAGACTCACCCAGATGGCTGAGCTTCTCACCATATCTCCTAAAGCCGGGCGTACACTGTGCGACTTTTTCACTTTTTTGAGCCGTTTTTCCAGTCGTGCGAGAATCCGCGAGATCGGGGCGAGTTTTGCGCCGAGCGGTCGTGTAGTGTACAGGGGGTTACGAGAGGCCATTAACACCACGTGACCAGCTGCCGATCAGCAGTCGTAAGGTCGCACGGATTTCTGGAGTGTTTGATATTTCGCTCATCCCTCGTGAGGGTATCGCACTGTTGAAGCGGTGCTGCGAGCAGCTACGATCCAAAAAGTATCAGAACCGCTCACGGCGCATGCGCAATCCTGCACCAACGCCGCTCGCTCGCTATTTCCATAATAACACACGCTGTTCGTTTTTGTTTCTACACGTTTTTTTACTCACAAAGATTGTCAAGAAAGCGTGTTTGTCGTGTTCATGACAAATTAAACTGATCACAAAACACAGATTTACTTTCTTTATTTCGTTTTCCTCATCCAACCCCCATAAATCCCCGTGTGTCCTCCTGCAGCACTCCCGAAGGACAACAGGCAAGACAAGACAAAAAAGTCTGACGTGTTGAGTAAAAACTGCTATTTTTAGCATGTTTTTAGGGCCGACGTGTTGCTATCAGACGTACAGTGTGAGCAGTCAGGTCGCATGCGAGAACTGGGTCTTACAGTGTGAGCACATGACTCGTGAGATCTGCCCTGCGAGGAAGTCGTACAGTTTGAGCTGAAGCTGAACGCTGCGAGTGAAAAAGTCGCACAGTGTACGCCCGGCTTAAGAGGGAGCCAAGACACCCTGTGAAGAAAACAAATTTCGGCCGCTTGTTTCTACAATCTCGTTCTTTTGTTCACTACCCAAACCTCGTGACCACAGGTGAAGGTTAGACCGGTAAATCGAGTGCTTAGCCTTCAGGCTCAGCTCTCTCTTCATCACAACAAACTGATACAACGCCCGCATCGCTGCAGATGCAGCACCAATCCGGCTATCGCTCTTGTGCTCCTTCTTTCCCTCACTCATGAGCAAGACCCTGAGATCCTTAAACTCCTCCACCTGGGGCATGGCCTGGAGAACCCGCTTCCGACTCAAGACCATGGTCTCAGATTTAGAGGAGCTGATTCTCATCCCAGCTGCTTCTCACTCGGCTGCGAGCCCCTACAGTTGTAGGAAGCGTGTAAAGCTATAAATAATTACAATCTCACTCTCATCGTAGACAGGATCTCTGGTAGCAGGAAAAAGTTTTTGCCCAACAAGAGAAGTCGTTTGTAATCTCTTCATATATCTTCCAAGTACTCACATCCAAAAGCGGAGCTTCACTGAGAAACATGTAAAATCTTTTACTGTAATACACGTAATACTCTTTGACATGAGATTGGTCATTTTGAGTTTCATATGCATGCTGAACATGAAAATAATCTTTAATCCCTATTTCCCGCATTAGCCAGGCTTTCCACCGGTGAAGTGATGCCACTCTACGCTTCCGGGACGGGTCCCAAAGCGTGTGGACATGTGGCCAGTGGAAACCCTCATGGACTATAAAAGTAGCTAACTGCATCGCACTACGCCTCACAGACATTATACAGTGCTCTCAGGGCTTGTGGAAAGCTGTGAAACGGTCGGGTCAGAAAAAGCCAATCCCTTCCATGTCACGGGAAAGTATTCGCATTTATGGATTCACCCACCTTTGTTTGTGACCATGGAAGGCTGTGTGGAGTTGGAGGGGAGAGCAGAGTGCATCTCGGCTACTGTAAGCTAACCATTAGCATTAGCAACCCCCCAACATGGCAGAACATTTTCAGGCTTGTATTTAGAGTCACGCTGATGTTAGCCAATCAGAGGTGAGAATCTGCAACTCATGAATGCTAATGACTGAGACTGAGAATCCTGCTGTTTCCCGTCCCCCGGTCCTCTGGCTAACTTCTGCCTCCTGAGACAAAAACTCCAGAGCTTTTGTTTCCACAGACAATAACTCACATGGCATCCATTTATACCAGAGACCACAGGACATTTATTGAAATACTGAGTATATGCCTACTTTAAAACGGTACTATTCTCCAAATTTCACCCTCGGACGGAGGAAAAGTACTAGATTCACCTGCTTAAAACTTTTTAAATAACTATAATGTGAACTTGACAGCAATTATAAGGTTTGGAAAACAATGTCACATTAGTGTTTATTAAGTTTGGCTAATATGAGAGTTTTTAATAAGGCAGCAATTCCTGAACAGATGCTCTGTAAGCTCTGGGTTATAGCATTAACTCTAACATATCAACACACACAGAATGACTTTAAATAATGTGCTTTCTGTGCTAATAATGATACATTTGAGAGGAACATTATGGGGAGGATTATTATGAGTTCAAATGAATTTTAACTCAGATTACTGATATTTTTCATAAAAACATGTTTGGTGTGTTCCTCCTTAAATCAAATAATTCTCTAACTCCACATTCATCAGTTGTGATTACAGCTGTTTGAAGTTTAGAAGTTCAGAACCTACAGGTGAAACGTCTCGAGGTGGTTCCAGACGAACTCGACCTTCCGGCACTCACAGATTCATGAGGCGGTGCTATTGATTTAAGCAGGTGTAAAGGCCCTTCTCCTGCCAAGTCAAATTAAATCATATCCAAGGGCTACCAGATTATTGCACCAGACACCAACACCGCAGGACACCTTCATGCAGAAGGCCAGACTATATTAATAATGCTTTCACCCAGGACTGCAGGAAGGACATTGTCTGGACCAGTTCAGACGATTCTGGAGAGAAAACCACAAAAATGCAAGCACGAAGGAATTTTTAGGAACATTTTGGTCCTGGAAATAATAGAGAGCCAGAGTTGCGTTCTACTCAGTTTTCTGATTTTATAAACTCGGGAGATTTATTCATTCTCCTAATGAATTCTGGTGATGAAACTTTTTATTCAGCTGGCTGAGCCAGTTAAGTTCAGGAGACAACCAAACGGCACACGTTTATGAATTGGTATCATTTTTTAATCGTGCAATTTTGTATGAAAAGTGTTCATTGCTTCACGTGAAGTCCTTTGAGGTGTGTGTGTGTGTGTGTGTGTGTGTGTGTGTGTGTGTGTGTGTGTGTGTGTGTGTGTGTGTGTGTGTTCTTTTCGTGAACAGCTGATTATTAAATTCTGTCGCTTAAGTCCAGGCAGCACGGCGACAGCACTAAGTCCTTCAGTCTGAGCGATAGACGAGGGGGAGAGTCAGCATGGCCCACAAAGACAGCTGTAAGTTTCTTGCTTTGTTGATGCTCTTCTGTGTCTTTCTCTTGTAGCAGAGGCGATTATTATCGAGATTACTGATCCAACAGCAATGATGCAAATTATTAGGATCATTAACAAGCCTAGACGACAGGAAACTGCACTGAAACTGGGGACCTTTTGTTTGTTGCCTTCAGAGCTCACATTGATTGGATTTCCATCAGTAGCACATTTGACACCTAAATGTATTCCATCCCATAATGACTCATGCTTGACATATGAAAGAGAAATAAAGACATAATAGTTTCACTTGCATATGTACTAACATGTACTTGTCATATAAACGTAGGTTTTGTATTAAAGTGGAAAACAACTTGATCAGGAAGCATATTGTTATCTACTGTGTAAGTTAATTTTTAAAGTTTGGTAAAGTTTTTCAGCACATTGTGAAATCTAGCAGCGATTGCAGCAACAGGCGGATTAGCCTCATTCATCCATTTCTCCCCCTCCCTTCCCTTTCCTCTCTTTTTCTCCATATAGCAATTCAGTTTTCCATCAGGGAATTTCAACCCGCCGATCAACATGTGGTCATGTCAATGTTTCACGAGGGGATTCTGGAACATGTCTACCCAGCTTTTTTCAAGGCCATGAGCAATTCAGACCACATCGGCGTGGCTCTGAGCATTTCTGTGGCTGGCTACATTTTAGGAGGCAGTTCCTACTTCCAAGCTTTCCTCTTTGGTGCTGCGTGGGCTGGCCTCATTTATTACTGCTGTCGTGAAATATATGAAGAGTACATGACGGTGAGACTAAACACAGACATGGCCAACATTCAAGCCACCTATCTGGAAAACCCAGATAACAGCTTCTGGGTGGCGGAAGCAGATGTCAAAGGCCAGGCCAAGGTGGTGGGGATGTTGGCGGTGAGGGGGAGAAAAGGAAAGAGAGAAGATGAAAGATTTGATGAGTGCAATGGAGGAATGAGGAACACAGAGTTCACTCAGGAGACTGGGAATGGACGTTATGGAGAGATATCTCATGTCATTGTGATGTTTCCATGGCGCCGCAGTAACCTGGGCTCACAGTTGACACGAAAGGCTTTGGATTTCTGTAAGGAAAGAGGCTTTTCTCGCCTTTCAGTGGCAGTCAGCTCACCACAGGCAGCTGCTATTTCCATGTTCCAGAAATTAGGCTTCATTCAAACAATTTCTCACCACAGCACGCATGTAAATCGGTGGTTCTCCAAGCTAGCCAGAATAAACATGGTGGAACTGGAGAAGAATATCTGAACATCACCAATAAGTGATACTATAACAGTGACCAAATGTTCCGAGAATAACACCAGTGTTGGTTTCCACAAATCTTCCTCCTTTAGTGTTTTTAGGTTGTCTATCAGATGTTACCGTGGTCACTGAAGTAAAATTTATATAATAATGTTCCCTGATCCACTTAGTGCTGTAAATGACACCGTTCATCCATAATCTGTCCTGAGGAGTTCCTCTGCGAGGATGTCTAGGTTCCATTCTTTGTTCATGGCTGCATTCTGAGGCTTACCCCGGTTTCTCACTAGAAGCATCAGCAGCGCGAAACGGCAGCAGAACGGTTTACTCGCAAACTTCAAAGCAGCGCTTTTCACACTGGGAGTCTTGGCAGTGGCACGGCTTCCCTGCTGTGCTCTTTACTGGACTCGTGAGATCACAAGATCCCTCGAGACTTCAGGTCACGGTTTGTTTCTGCAATCTGCCATTAAGCCAAAAAGAAGGACATCCCGTCTGATATCTCTGTTTGACGTCACATATGATGTTGTTCCTTTCCACTGCGAGGATTAAAGCCATGAAAAACACCGCTGCACTTGTGGAACACTGCTGGGAGTAAATAAGCTGTTGGGTCACACATAAGCTTCATTCACATGAAATTGCACCTTTGTTACATTTGTACTGTGTTAGTTATCCAATTGAATTTTCTTTAGTTCTTCGTTGTACACAGAGAGATAAGGGTTTGTGTTCCCTTTGCTGACATGTTTTGTCATTCATGTCACGTCAGCAAAGGTAACAACAAGCCCTTTTCACTCCGTGTACAACGAAGAACTAAAGAAAATTACATAGAAATAGCATCGATAGCAGTACTTTTATTTTGAAAATTACTGGGTATTTTACACGGAAACTGTGTGATTTCCTGTCTAGCTCTAATTAACTGCGGAAGCTGACATAAGCGGCTCGCGGCAACAATAGAACCTGATCCAATCTTTAGCGTTATGCTGGAAATTGCCGCGTTGCTGCTGGTTTGAAACACTCCCCAGACTATAATGGATTATTTCTGAAGCCGTGACATTCTGCTGCCGTTCCACGCGGCTGATGCGTTCAGTGTGAAACCGGGGTGAGCACTCTTGGCTGAAAACCAACCCTACACATGATTGGTCTCTGAATGCTTTACTGATCTCTATTCTGAGTTTATGCAAACTGCCTGAAACTTTGTGACATGTAATGTTTGTCATTTTCTAAATCTTTGCGCATGGACATAAACACAGTAAAAATCTGATTTTTCACTTGACCCAAGGTATATCAGCAAATTTATTGTTTTTATTTTTTCATTTAATAAATAAAAATGTTTCTTAACTGGTCATTCATATTCATAGCTCACTATCTAGCAAGTCTGTAGGAACAGGTTCCCTCCAATTAGCATTCTGAGGGGTTTGGACTTGTTCATACCTTCATGTAATATGTATTCACCTGACTCATTCATACACTTAGAGAACAATGAGTTCATTAGTCAACTTCTAAGTTTGTCAAATGAGCTTATTATTAACTAACAGAGGGTAAATACCTCTCTTAGCAGCTCATATTGAATTGATCGCAGGTTGTTAAGCAAAATCACATTTAATTATGCATTGTTCCCCTGACCACTGCAGAGAATAAAACAATTGTACAAATGGAGATATTTAGTCATAGATATTTAGTCATATGAAAATAGAAAAAAATTCTCCTAAGCCTCATTCCAGGGAGAAGCTGAATCCCTCTGCCTCACAGGAATTAATGCCAGCTGACTTCTAAGACCTCACGACTCTTTGCCTAAAATACCAATGAAAAATGCAGTAGTATCAGGATATCAGAGGGTTTTAAATTCTTTGGAGCTAAAAGAGCTCTGGGAGGGAATGCGTGTGGCATGAAAAGAGGAGAAAGGCTTCACTGTGCTGCAGTGAAGTTCAGTCATCAGACACAGAGCAAAAACTAAGATTATTGAAAACAAACAATGCCTCTCTGTTTCTGTGTTTGTGGTCTTATGGCATGGGCTAATTATAACAGATGTCATAGCAGGAACTGAAGAATTACCTATTTTTTACAAAGCAGGTTTTAGGTAGCAGCAAGCATCAAGTGGCATTAGCTGAAAGTGTAGATTTACAGATTTCTCAACATGCATTGCCTAAGAAATCCCCTGAAAGGTGATTACAGTTTCCAGCAAATTATCACTGCCACACAGTACCAGCTTATCATGGATGAGGGGACGTGTTACCAAGCAGGAAGCCTACAAGGTAAAACATCAAGCAGCCAAAGTGTGCAAGGACAGGTGTGGACTAAATGAACGTGAAGAGGGAGTGGTGGATGGATGGAGCAGCTTGGCAGTGAGATGCACACACCATCAGAGGCCTTCTGGCATCAATCATTCCTGCTGAGGCCGTCGGAACAACATTCGGCTGGTGGCCAGTGAGCAGGTGCTGAACTCGCCAAAGGAAGATGAGAGTAAATACTGGCCAAACTGTTGTCATCCTCGCACAATTACCAGTATAACCAGCCTCAAGGTAATGGCAGCTTGATTGCTATTCCTCTCTCACACACGTCACACACACATACATACACACACACACACACACACACACACACACACACATACATACACACACACACACACACACACACACACACACACACACACACACACACACACACACACACACACACACACACACACCTGTTGACATTTTTGTGGGACAACATGCTAAGAAGAAAAGGCTTCCTGTGTCTAGGATGCTGCCAAAATGATGCAAATATCCTTCTCTAAATGAACGAATTTTTAGCATAGCATAGCATAGCATAGTTTATTTATATAGCACATTTAAAATGCAGCTTGGGAGCTGCCCAAAGTGCTGCACAGGCTAAAACAAAACACTAATGTTAAGATGACACTTCTATATTAATGAGGTTTTATTTGCTATTCTACAACATAACAGCAATAAAGACAGAAAATTAGCCTTCAACATGCAGAACCCTAACCCTCTTCAACCAGAGGTCCGTAGACATGCGTGGGACTGGTCATTATGATGAAGATACTAATCCTAATACTTCTGAATACTTTAAGACCAGGAGTTTTTTAAACAATATTCTACAACAGATTAAATAATGAATTTAAAATATAAAAACTGAAACAAAAATTTCAGATAATTTTCCAGGTGGGAGTCCACCATCACCTCCATCATAAAACAAGCCCAGCAAAGGATGTGCTTCCTGAGGCAGCTGAAGAAATTGAAGCTATCAGTACAGTCGATGAGGCAGTTCTACACCGCAGTCCATCCTCGCCTCTTCAATCATTGTGTGGTATGCTGGAGCCACCATCAGGGACAAGAAGAGGCTGCAGAGTGCCGTACGCTCTGCTGAGAAGGTCATTGGCTGCAAACTCCCCCTCATGCAGGACCTGTACACCTCTAGGACATTGGGGGCATGCAGGTCTCACAGGATCACAGCTGACCCGTCTCCCCCTCGACAGTCTCTGCGACTCGCTCCCATCTGGCAGGAGGCTCCGATCCATTCGGACCAGAACCTTTTAACACAAAAACAGTTTCTTCCCCTCTGCGGTCCAACTCATGAGCCACAATTGTAGACCGCCGACAATAGCTGCTTTGTTTCAGTCACATGACCCTGTGTTTGCGACGATGCGGTGTGGGTGGCGGCGGACCACGTGTGGTGGAGCTGACCCAGGAGGCAGAAATGCAGGCTCAGATAACATAAAACGGATTTAATGACTGAGGATACAGCAGGAGCAACGAGACAAGGTGGAGACACAACAACAATGATCCGACAAGGACACATGCAAAACGGGAGGTATAAATACACAGGGAACAATCAGGAACACGTGGGCAGGTGAGTCCAGTAAATAACTAATCAGGGGCAGGAGAGAGCAAGAGTCAGAGGGGTAGGAGCAGATCCAGACAGTGTTCTGTTTGCACCTGAACTGACCCACTCTGACCAGTACCAACACTGACTTGTATAAAGTAGCTGCTTCCCTTATTGTCTCCCTATATAATTATCGTTTCATTGTGTTTACTTCTTCATTCTAATTTAGCTTATCATTAATTTGTTCTTGCACCAAGTACCGCAGCAGTTTCCTAATGTTGTGATGGCGATTAAACCCTTCTGACTCTGATTCTAAACATCATTAATAATTATTATCTAGCCTCCAGAGAGTTTTCCTGTTAACAACTTCAACTTTTTGAAGTCCCTGGGACGAGTGCTAGATAGTGCTCCATCAGGGGACTCCATTGTCCTGCTGGGGGACTTCAATGCTCACGTGGGCAATGACAGCTTGACCTGGAGGGGTGTGATTGGGAGGAACGGCCCACCTAATCTGAACTCGAGCGGTGTTTTGTTATTGGACTTCTGTGCAAGCCGCAGTTTGGCCATAACGAACACCATGTTCGAACATAAGGATGCCCACCGGTACACTTGGTACCAGGGCAGCCTAGGTCGCAGGTCGATGATAGACTTTGTAGTCGTATCATCTGACCTGCGGCCGTATGTTTTGGACACCCGAGTGAAGAGAGGGGCGGAGCTGTCAACTGATCACCACCTGGTGGTGAGTTGGATCAGATGGCAAGGGAACATGCCGCGTAGACCTGGCAGACCCAAACGCATAGTGAGGGTCTGCTGGGAATGCCTGGCAGAAGAACCTGTCAAGACGGTCTTCAACTCCCACCTCCGGCAGAGCTTTGACCACGTCCCGAGAGCAGTGGGGGACATTGAGTCCGAGTGGGCCTTGTTCCACTCTGCGATTGTCGAGGCGGCTGTTGCTAGCTGTGGTCGTAAGGTGTCCGGTGCCAGTCGTGGTGGCAACCCCCATACCCGCTGGTGGACACCAGAGGTTCGGGGAGCCGTCAGGCTGAAGAAGGAGGCCTACAGGGCGTGGCTGGTCTGTGGGTCTCAGAAGGCAGCAGACAGGTACCGGATAGCCAAGTGGGGTGCAGCAGTGGCAGTTGCCGAGGCAAAATCTCGGGCGTGGGAGGAGTTTGGTGAGGCCATGGAGAAAGACTATCGATCGGCTCCAAAGAGGTTCTGGCAAACTGTCCGGCGCCTCAGGAGAGGAAGGCAGCAACTCGCTCACACTGTTTACAGTGGGGATGGGGAGCTGCTGACGTCAACTGAGGCTATAGTCGGACGGTGGAAGGAATACTTTGAGGAGCTCCTCAATCCCACCAATGCACATTCCGAGGAGGAACCAGAGCTGGGAGGCCTGGGGATGGACTGTCCGATCTCGGGGGCAGAAGTTGCTGAGGTAGTCAAACAACTACACAGCGGCGGAGCCCCGGGGGCGAATGAGGTTCATCCTGGGTATCTCAAGGCTATGGATGTTGTAGGGCTGTCATGGTTGACACGTCTCTACAACATTGCGTGGTCATCGGGGGCAGTTCCTGTGGAGTGGCAGGCCGGGGTGGTGGTCCCCATCTTTAAGAAGGGTGACCTGAGGGTGTGTTCCAACTATAGGGGGATCACACTCCTCAGCCTCCCTGGAAAGGTCTACGCCAAGGTACTGGAGAGGAGGGTCCGATCGATAGTTGAATCTCAGATAGAGGAGGAGCAATGTGGTTTTCGTCCTGGCCGTGGAACTGTGGACCAGCTCTATACCCTTGCAAGGGTGATGGAGGGGGCATGGGAGTTTGCCCAACCAATCCACATGTGCTTTGTGGATTTGGAGAAGGCTTATGACCGTGTCCCCAGGGGCACCCTGTGGGGGACGCTCCAGGAGTATGGGGTGGGTGGCTTTCTGTTAAGGGCCATTCAGTCCCTTTACCAGTGGAGCGTGAGTTTGGTCCGCATAGCCGGTAGTAAGTCGGACCTGTTCCCAGTGAGGGTTGGACTCCGCCAGGGCTGCCCTTTGTCACCGGTTCTGTTCATCACTTTTATGGACAGAATTTCTAGACGCAGCCGTGGTGTGGAGTGTGTCGAGTTTGGTGGCAGGAGAATCTCGTCTCTGCTTTTTGCGGATGATGTGGTCCTCCTAGCTTCATCCAGCTCTGACCTTCAGCTCTTGCTGGGTAGGTTCGCGGCCGAATGTGAAGCGGCTGGGATGAGGATCAGCACCTCCAAATCTGAGACCATGGTTCTCGACCGGAAAAGGGTGGCTTGCCACCTCCGGGTCGGGGGAGAGGTCCTACCTCAAGTGGAGGAGTTTAAGTATCTCGGGGTCTTGTTCACGAGTGAGGGTAGGAGGGATCGGGAGATCGACAGGCGGATTGGTTCGGCGTCTGCAGTGATGCGGACGCTGAGCCGATCTGTCATCGGGAAGAGGGAGCTGAGCCAGAAAGCCAGGCTCTCGATTTACCGGTCGATCTACGTCCCAATCCTCACCTATGGT